AAAAGAAAAAATAAACCAGCAACAACGCGATGAATTTTACAAAATGCTCTTTAGAAAACTTGGCACGACTTTTTTTAAGCCAGTCGTGCCGCGAATAATTGAAATTTAAACCGATTACCTTTCGACATTCAAGTAAAACCCGTTCTATGTATTAGTCTGGATAAGGGTTTTACTGAAACAAGCTCCCTCTACCGCCCCAAAATTATATATGCTTTTAATTGCAAGACCATATGAATATAAGCCCATAGGCCAATAACTTCCTCATCTTCATGGTATTTCGGCAATTTAGATGATTCGTTTGTGGAGGTTCATCCAAACAGAAAAGAACATACTGGAACATGTTTATTTTTAGCTAGTCCAGTTCCTGCTGCTGAGGTCAACAGATGAGTATCTTGTGATCCGCACATGACTGCTAACACGAACGATACGATTTGGCATAACTGGGGAAAAGAATTAAAATGAACACCGACTCTAACAATCGTAGATATTAAGATTAGAGAAAATACAATTCGGTCCTATTTGGGGTTTGGGTTAAAGTCAAGCACAATTCCGTGTTGAATATTTGTTAGCATAACGTCAAAACTGACGGAGATTATATTTCCTTCTTGACATTTTATTGATTTTTTCTCAGCATATTAAGAAGCATCTAGGAATGTCTTCAACGCTCGAAAAATTAAAACCGCTGTTGGTTTTGCCACCGCTAAAAAGATCGCCCTTCCAGGATCAGAAAAATCGCATTAAGATCGAGCTCTGAAACATGTATCCTCCAGGCGATTTTACTTTGAACAACCAGCCAAGAATTTATGTCAACAACACTGACAGCTTTTTCAGCTATACGCAGTTGCGATTCTCATCCCTCTGAAGCTGGAACGTAACCTTTGATTGTCTATTCGATATCTGCAGATATGAGATATGAGCTCTTACGATAAGATTCACGTAATTGGTAGAAGAAATAACATCACATTCAGAAACTATTTTCATTGTTCTGGTCTGCAGGAGTAGATCATGAAGTGTACTCTGTCGATGGACACTGTCTGTGGTATAGTTTGAGTCTGGTTTCAGATTCATCGCCTTTCATGTTGTGCGCTGCCTCCTTTCGAACGCGTTCAGCGTTTTACCGTTATTTTCCTTTTTTTTATCACGCGGCATAAAATATGTCCATGACCGGTAAGACAACAACAAATAGCATACGATTCTGGCTACATGAAAACAGAAAAACAGCAAAAACACCATGAAAGCAAAGTGACTCGTTAGCCATATAAACAAATTGCAAAAGCTAACTTGAAAGTTGTGTCAAAATGCGAATTATCTAGATGGAAGACAAACAGGCAAATTGAATGACATGAGCTGCGAGTCACAACCCAGAATTTACATTCTTATATAATCAGGGAAAAAAAACCGTGACTGAGGCAATCAAAAACCTGTGAAAGAATGCCCATACTGTAGTTAACCACACCAAATGGATCCAAAATCATATCTGATAATATACTGGCGAAAGCAAGGTCACAAATGAGTTACAGGCTCTTACAACGGGGAACTTTCCATTACATAGGAAGACACAATAAAGAAGTTGTGATTTTCGACTTAAAAAGTTTTCATATTGTTAGTTAGTTCAGGGTATTAGATCAATGGATATATATTTTTTTGTTACCTTGATGTACCCAAACAAATGCAACACTTTTGACGAAGGTAAAACACGCTTTCAGTATGGTCGAAAACTTAAGGGCAGTCTTTAAACACATAAATAT